TTCTGCAAACTGTAGTTTTGTGAGACATTTAGCCTTCTCTGTCAGAGATCTCTTTTGCCACAATAAACTACAATTCCCAGGATTCCCTAGCACTGAGCCAGGGCAGTTAACACTGTCTCAAACTGGATTATTTCTGCAGTGTGTTTTGGACCTTAGACACCCTGGAAGAAAGTTCAATTTGAGGGTGGAGGGACTTCCAATGAAACCCAGAGACCTTCAGGGTGGAAGTTCCCACTGAACTGTGCATGGCAGCCAAAGGGGAAGAATCAGGAGAGTTTCCTTCTCCAGAAGAAGAAGAGTTAATTTTGAGTCATGTTCTTGTGGGCCTTCATGGACAACAGTCCTGTTTCCCATCAATGAAAATTTAAATGTTTCCAGGGACCCCACTGACTTCCTTAACTGGGCTTTATCACACCTGAAAATGGAGACTCTTCCATCTTTATAATGGAAAGTGGAAGAAATTGGTTGGTTGGATTAGATTCTAGGTCCATCTAGAACTGAAGGCAAAATGTTATTTTGAATGGATTGGTTTTAAGTTTTCTCAGTGTATATTGCATTTTTATTTACTTTTTTGTATGTTTTATGTGCTCTCTTTCCAGATTAATGTGGGTTTTGTTACTAGAACTGCTTAGCCTTAGACAATGATTTTTAAAACAGTTTAACTATCAGGTTATCAACTGTTCTTCATTTTAATCTATGGTTTAAGCCTCCTTGGGTCCCATGCTTGAAGTGAAGTAAGATATAAATTCAATAAGGAAACGAGGGCAAAAGATCCTTCCACTACAGGACTCTGTAAACCTCACTGATGGGAAATCTTATGTCACAGATGCTGTAATGTTCGCACACTCACACAGTCCTCTTTCCACCTACACACTTCTTAACATAAGAACAGGCATTTTTAAAAGTTATTTATTATTCCTATGCTATGGCATATTGAAAATGTCCTCCCACCACCTACACTTACCAGGCAACTGCTGCAGTAGGAAACTGCATTTTGCTGCCCCCCTCCATCTCCTACCAGTAACTTTTCTCCTTAACAAGTCTGCCTTCTGCTCTGCTCCTGTAAAGAAGTGTTACTTGTATTAATGCTTCTAAATTCTTTACATTGTAGGGTAGATGAAAAATAACCAGGGTAATGAACTGGAACATTGGCAGCCCTCCAGATGTTAGACTGTGGCTCCCATCATCCATCACAAATAGCTGTACTGGTAAAGACTAATGTCAGCCCAACATTTGAGGGACCACACATTCCCCATCCCTGATTTGTGTGTTCCCTGGGTTTACCAAAGGCTGGAACAATAACCTTATTAGTCTGTCCTAATGTATTTTATGGCCTTTGAAGTTGATTCCATAGTTGTGTTTATATTTTGGTCTATTATTTATTATTATTATTATTATTATTATTGGTTACACTTAATATTTGCTACCATGATAGTTGGTTATCAGTTAACAGATTTTATCAAAGACATTTAAAATACCTCCCAGTTAAGAGTTTTCTTCCAATTGCCTATAATAACATCTAAAAATCTTTTTCTAGAATGAGAAGTTTTAACTGTTAAATGGCATGCCTCTGAGTAACCTACTAAAAGCCTTCCAGTGTTGCATTTCATACAAAATGACAAATGTTGTTATGTTCCATTTCATGAGAAAGGAGAAATATTTTAAAATATGGATGGTGACGTTTTGTTTTTGCTAGATACCACACCAGAGTTGTTGAAGAAAGACCAACAACATGGATTTGTTTTCCTATATCAGATACTTGTTTACAGACGTCTTTACATGTATTTCCTAATGAGTTCAATATTGTTGTTGCTAACTGCCCTTTAGTCAACCTCGATTCATGGCGACCCTGTGAATTAGACATCTCCAAGATTCCCTGTCCTCCATTACTCTGCGTAGGGCCTTTGCAGACTGCCAGAAATAGTGCAAATTGAGTC